GCTCATGCCTATAATCCCAGCCCACCGGGAGGCTAAGGTGGGTGGATCACTTGAAGTCAGGAGTTCAAGACCAGCCTGGCCAACAAGGTGAAACCTCATCTGTACAAAAATTAGCCGGGCATGATGGCAGGTGCCTGTAATCCCAGCTACTTGGGAGGCAGAGGTGGGAGGATCACTTGAACCCAGCAGGTGGAGATTGCAGTGAGCCAAGATCGTGTCATTGCACTCTAGCCTGGGCAGCAAAGTGAGACTCTATCTCAAGAAAAAAAAAAAAGAAACAAATCCTCATGATTTTGGAGGACAGAAGATGAAGATCTCTGCAATAAGGTATCAAAAGCAATTATCACAAAGAAAAACATGAAGATATGTGACCACACCAAAATTTAAAACTTCTGTTCACTCCAAGGCTCTGCTAAGGAGAAAAGGTAGGTCACAGAGGGGGGAAAATTATTCATAACATCACAACTGAGGAAAGACTCGTACCCACATTCAGAATACACGAAGCATCTCCATGAACAAGTAAGAAAAAGACAACCCAATTATTGTTTTTAATCGACAAAAGACTTGAGTACTTCCCAAAAGAGGAAATCTAAGTGGCCAATCAACATGGGAGAAGATTCTCTGCCTCACTGGCCATTAGGGAAATGCAAATGAAAACCACCCAGAGACACTGCACCAGCACATAGCCATGAGAATCAACCCACTGCAAGGACTGAAACGGGAACAGGTGAGCAAGCACTGAGCATAAGTCTGGCTTATGCAAAGGCTGGGTAAGCACAGGATGCAGATGGTCACAGGCCCCCGCCCCCAATGGTTATAGGCCCTTGTCAAACCTGAGCTTCTGGGAGGCAGGCCTGATCCATTTCAGGGTCTCCCAAGCCCAGCACAGAGCCAGGAACATGACGAACCACAGTGGGCTTCAGGGTGTGCAGCTCCACAGACAAGGAAGGAACAACCATTACAATCTGACCCACTGAGGACTGCTTGAGCCCAGGAGTTTGAAATCAGTCTGAGCAACATCATGAGATCCCATCTCTACAAATAATGTTAAAAATTAGCTGGGAGTGGCAGTACATACCTGTGGCCCCAGCTGCTCAGGAGTCTGAGATGGGAGGATCGCTTGAGCCCGTGCAGTCCAGGCTGCAGCAAGCTGTGACTCCAGCTTGGGCAACAGAGCAAGAGCCCATCTCCGGGGAAAAAGAAAATCTCCCAAGCAGAGTATCTCTTAGTGGTAACAGGAAAAAAGCCAGTTGCCATAACCATGTTTGCTTTTTGCTTCCCCTTCCTAGCTTGCTATGTAAAGCCCTCAATATCAAGGCTAGCCTCCAAGTCTAGCAGAGAGAGGACCTCCCGGGAATGGGCTCATGTATCCCTCTGCTTACAGGGGAACTGCCAGCCACGGGCAGTGGAAGTGTAGCCCTGTAAGGGGGAAGGGGCTGGAAGGACACTAGGCCCACCCACAGCAGACCCCTGTTGCATGCCCCTTGTGATGGGCAGCTCACTACTTGATAATGCCACACCGCCTCTCCCCTGGGCTCCTGTCTATGGGGGAGTCTTCCCACACTGGTGAGACTGCCTCCTGTCACTTCCTCCTGTCCCCTGCTCTGCCCTCTACCGCCTAGGGCCGTATGGTGAACATGTCTGCCCCTCAACCTGGTCGGCCTTGCCCACGTGTCCAGCGGCAACAGCTGTTAGGTCACTCGTTGCTAGTGTTTATTCCATCCCTGCTCCCTGCCTGCTGGTCTAACTGTGCTTCTAAAGCTGGAGGGGACGCCTCCTGTGGTAGCCAATATGTGAAGGGCAGAGGGGAAAGAGAAGGAAAATCCGGAACATCTGAACTTCACAATGATCACAAGCAGCTCTGCCACCTGCACCTCCCGAATGAGCCACCATGTGCCCAGGTGGCTGGTGCCAGGGGACCGGGGGCCACAGCCTGAACCTCAACAGACAGTTGGCAAGGGGGCACACAACCCCCACATATGCCCCATTTGAAGCCAGACAGGATCGGCAGCCAGGACGGGGGTTCTTCAGCGTGAATACTTTTTTGGGGGCTGGTTAATGCCTCTTCCAATTGTGTTGCTTCTAGTATCACCTGGAGATACCAGCAATGGAGCATCCCTCCCCACTGAGAGACTCTCACAGGGTAGAGCCCCATGCTCCCCAGATCACCTCACATCATCTTCCCACTTACTGGGAAGCCTGGGGCTTAGGGAGGGTACCTGGCACCCTCAAGGGAGAAGGCCGCCCTGAGAAGTCCTGGCTCCCAGCAGCCTGGTGGGCAGATGGGCGTAAGGCCACGGACCCAGGGACCTAGGTTCTGGCAGCACCTAAGATCTGGCCCAGCCTCTGCTCTCTTGCTGTCATCCACCGAGGTCCCTGGAAGCCACATGCAGCTCCGTAGTCTCCAAAATGCCCCAGGCCCTCTCAAGCCTCCTGGCCTTTGCCCAGCCTGTTCCCTCTGCCTGCCACACCCTTTCACCCACACTTAGCTGCCTGTATCTCTTTAGCCTCTGGCTCTCCCCACAGGAAGCCTCCCCCAACCCCAGCACCCAAGGCCCCTCCTTCATGGCTCTTTATGACTATGGAACTGGCTGTTGACAGTCTCCTACGAGAATGTAAACTCCATGAAGGGAGCAGCAGTGTCTGTCTGTCCACACCATGTCCCCAGGGTCTCCCTGGCACTCCGTACATCCTTGATGACTGAATTAACAAGTTCATTCCTGAGAGCAGGAGGACATAAGCTCAATCCCCAGCCCTCAATGTCCTCGTGGGGCCTAAAAGGCTTGTGTATACTCGAAAGCTATTCTGAGAACAGAGGCCTGGCACACAGGAGGCATTTAGAAAGGCCACTGAATGGCCTCTGCCCTGGAGCAGGAAGAGCTAGGACCAGAAGCCTGGAGGACCACTCCTAGGATGCCTTGAGCAAGCCACATCTCTGCCTGGGCCTATACCTGCCCTTCTGTAAAATGGGGTAAGCGTAGACTTAGGCCTGCCTTGAGGTTTGTGGAATAAAACTAGTTATCCTCCTCCTGGCTCCCCAAGGAGCACTGCAGTCATAATAAATGACCGCAGCCACTCTCCAGGGCCTTCCTTTAAGCAGCCTTCCCCTGGATGGGCCCATGTAGACCTCACAACCCCCCTACAAGGCAGGCGGCATCATTTCCCCACTACACAGAGGGGCCAGAGAGGCTGAGTCACGTGCCCATAGTCACACATCACTACCCTCACCATTATGATCACACCACCACCATCACCATCATCATCACTATCGTCATTCTCACTGCCATCATCACCACCATCATCACCACCACCACCACTACCACCACCACCATCATGCTTATTACCATCATTGCATCATCACCATGCCATCGTCACCATCATTACCATCACAACCATCATCATCACCATCATCATCATCACATCACCACCATCATCACCATCATCACCACCACCACCATCATCACCATCATCATCATCAACACCCTTACCATCACCACCCTCACCATCACCACCCTCAACATCATCACATCACCATCATCATCACCACCACCATCATCATCATCACCACAACCACCCTCACCATCACCACCCTCAACATCATCACATCACCATCATCATCACCACCACCATCATCATCATCACCACAACCACCATCATGATCACCATATCATCATCATCATTACCATCACCACCATCATCATCACCATCACCATCATCATCATGACCACCATCATCACCACCATCATCATCACCATCACCACCATCATGATCACCATATCATCATCACCACCACAACCATCATCTCCACCATCATCACCACCACCACCATCATCACCATCACCATCATCACCACCCTCACCATCATCATCACATCACCACCATCATCACCATCATCATCACATCACCACCAGGATCACCATCACAACCATCACCATCACCATCATCATCATCATTATCACCACCATCATCATCATCACAACCACCATCATGATCACCATACCATCATCACCATCATTACCATTACAACCATGATCATCACCACCATCACCATCATCACCATCATCATCACCACCATCATCACAACACCACCATCACCACCATCATCACCATCACCATCATCATCATCACCACTACCATGATCACCATACCATCATCACCATCATTACTGTCACAACCATCATCATCACATCACCACCACCACCATCACCACCATCACGACCACCACCACCACCATCACCCCCATTATCACCACCATCGCCATTGTCACATCACCACCATCATCACCATCATCACCACCACCATCATTACCATCATTACCTCAATTACATCATCACTATACCATCATCGCCATCACCATCATCGTTATATCAACACCATCATCACCATCACCATCATCCCATTATCACCATCATCATGACTATACTATCATCATCACCATCACCCTCACCATTATCACCATCACCACCATCACCATTATCATCACCATCATCACCAATATCGTCATTACCATCATCATCTCCCCCAGCCCCTGACATATGCATCTGTTTTGTATGGAGCGGGAAGACAGCGTTAGGGAAACATTCCTAGCACTGTAGAATATTCATTAAAGGCAGGGGTTCTGGAACCAAACTTCTTGTATTTAATCCCAACTCTGCCCCTTCCTAGCTGTGTGACCTTTGACAAAGTCCTCCAAACTGCGGTGGGCCTCAGTTTCCTCACCTGTAAAATGCAGATAATTGTACCTGCCGTAAGTGAGCTAGTATCTCACAGCATACCACAGGATACAGCTGATATTACTATTTTCAGTGAGATATGGGGAAACAGAGGCCCGGAGAGCAGCAGTGACCTGCCTAGGTTCACAGAGAGGGTGAGGGGGCAAGATTCAGTCCTGAGGCTCACATCCCAAGCTTCCTCCTGCTTCTAGCATCCCCCACAGCCCCTGCACTCAGCCTCAGCTTTGGTCTCTCCAGCAGGCAGGACCGGCACCCAGGCCCACTCACCATGGGGAGCCGTAGATCCGGAAGCCCCGCACAGTGACCTCCGAGTCCTGAAGGTAGATGCAGTTGGTCAGCAGCGACTGCACATTCTCATAGTTCTCCGGCTTCAGCTTCGACACAGATGGGAAGTAGTAAAAGTCCTGCTTGATGAGGTCAGCCATGAACTCCTGGTCAAAGGTCAGCTCGTGGTTGCCTGCGATCACAATCTTATACTCGTAGGGCAGGCTGCCTGCAGGGGAAGACACAGACAGACACACAGCACACAGCCGTCAGCTTTTCCAGAAGCCACGGCATGGCTGAGAGAGGGGCGGGTAGAAGGAAGCTGCTGGGATCACTGACAGGGGTACCTCTGCTGCCGGGCCTCAACAGGTGCCTTCATTATGTCCTAACTCTACCTCTCCCACTGTGTGAGCATTCCACGGAGTGGTCAGAGGAGGCAGCAGCCTGAACACTGTCCCTACAATCCTGCCTGCTCAGGCTTCCACTGGCCATCAGCCCCTGAAATCATCGGGCAGAGGCTGGACAGGTTCCTCCCAGGCCACTCAGCTGCACAGTGCCGAGCCACCCGCTGGGACTCCCTGCCTCCATTTTTTCTGTCTGGTCTAGTTTTCTACTGGAGGAAGACCTCACTCTGCACCCCCAGCCCTAGCTGTCACCAGTATCATGGTCCCAGGCCCCCACCACCTGGGTATCCTGGACTCTTTATCCTCCACATTCCAAAAGGAATTACAAGGTCTTTGCAGAGGTCAGTTCAAATGTCTGGAGACCCCACACTCAGAAAAAATTATAGTGCCCACCCCGATTGCTGTGAAAATTCAAAGCCAAAACAAAGTCCAGATAGAATCAAAACAAAAATGCCCGTGTATACAGCACACCAAATGACAACAGTGTCATTCTCGTTCTGCTGTGTGCACACTTTTGGGTCGTTCTTCCAAGGTACACATCTTTCTCTCTCTGGGGTCCAGTTTTATGGATTCCCTAGACAGGAGTGTGCACTGCCGCCCAGGAGACTGGCTGGGGGCTGGTTTCTCAACAGCTGCCCGACAGGCCCCACCCACCAGGCTGGCTCTATACAGGGGCAAGACCACCGCGGCTCCTTGGTCTCAGTAAATGCCACTTCCGGCCTCCTACCCCATCTGAGAGCCAGCCTGACCCCAGGTTCAGGTCCCTGACTCCCCACTCTCCACCAGCCTCAGCCGCCAGGCTCTCTTGGGCCTGGAGAGTCAAGATGGTACCTGTGAGCCCTGGTGTGGATAAAACACGCACTTGGAGACCCAAGCCTTTCTCCCAGTCCCTCCTGGACAGGGGAGTGCCCTGGACAGTGCCCTGATGGGTCAAGCAAATGGTGTGTGAAGGTGCCAGCACAGCGTGAGGACCTCGGAGTGATGGGTGCCCAGACAGGAAAACGGTGAATTCCATAACCAGTTCACAAAGCAGGAACCATGGCTCACAAAGACCCATACCTCATGAGGCATCCCCTCTGTCCCTGAGAGACCCTGACCTTCATCCACTAAGTCACTCACAGGGCAAGGTGCCCAAGCACGTCTCTGGCCACTGGCTCCACTGAGCCCCTTCCCTGACGTTCCCTTCACTCCTCACTGCCCCCGCCCCCCAGCCAGGGCCATGGCCAGCAGCATGGGCACCGCGGTCTGTGTCCTGGGGTAACACAGCAGCCCAGGAACAGCAGAGCCTTTTCTACCATGACCAAAAACACTACCTCTCCCGCTGTGTGAGCATTCCATGGGGAAGCGAATTCCAGAAATACCTCTGCTCCAGATACGAAGGATTGTTTTTCTTACTGGAGATGGATGCTCGCAATATGGGCTGGGACTCGGATGATGTGCCATCACCCTCAGCTCCCAGGAAGCACTCTAGAAAAAGCTAATCTTCCCAGCCCTTATGTGAGCTCCAGGGAAGGACAGAGTGAGGTTGACAGCAGCGCATGTCCCATAACTACAGCCACTATTATATCCTCCTTGCAATGAAACAGAAGAGTCCAGAGCCCCGCTATAAGCGTCTTCTCCACCCCCATCTAGATGAGACTGGCTCTGTCTGTCCAACCATGTGCCCTATGGCCACAGCAAGTGGCCAGTTCCCAGCCTGGCCAGGGAGGGTGGGCCAGGGTGGTGAGAAAGGGAACCCTGAGCTGAGACAGATGTTTTCTGGCAAAACAGGCAGAAAATCAAAATCTACTCCTGGCTGACTCACCAGCCACCCCAGACTGCTTTACAGATTTGAGAAAGTACTGCTCTTTCTTCTTCAGGATTTACCAACTCCGGGGCAGGGGGCCACCATACATAGCAGGCCACAGAATCTCAGCACCAGCAGCCTGGATCCCAGACCCACTCTGCCACTAACCAGCTGTACAACTTAGCTTCTCCGTGCCTCAGTTTCCTCACCTATAAAATGAGAAAGGTAACAGCTACCTTGTAGAACTGTTCTGCTATTATAGAAGATAATAAATGGAAATGTACAAAACTTTTGATGTTCAAAAAAAACCAAAGAGCTTCCCTGGGCCCGAGTTTGCAAACTAGAAGCAGGCGGGCCAGACCCACCCACAGACATATTTTGTTTGGCACAACTTTTTTAAGAAACTTGAACTTGTTGCCAACACTAAAAACGTGAGAGATTGCTAATAACACTTCATTATTTCTGTTTTCTCAAAATAAACAAATAAATACAATTTAACCTCTGGCCATCCCATTCCAGTCAGGAAGTACTGAGTGTCTGTATCCCTTGGACAGGATGAATGTGTCCAGCTGGCCCCAGTCCCCACCTGTCCCTATTGTCTCACACCTAGTCTTCTTCATTCATTTGAAAGTACCGTCCACTCTTAATAGGCATTTCGGTTTCTGTCCCTGGTGACGTGAAGGGAACAGCCTGGCCAGGGAACTTCCAATCAGGCTGCTGGGATGAGATTCTCCAAGTCCCTTCCACCTCCCCCCACTTCCTCTTGTTCATCAGAGCCCACCCTGGCTCAGAGGTGCTAGGAACTCCGCTTGCTGTGCTCATGGGAGAGCTCTAAGAACACGGAAGCAGGCGTGTTTGCTTCCCCCAGCTCTGTCCCTAGCAGGCCCCAGCAGAAGTCTGGCAAATGAAGCCGCCCACAGCCCCACAGTGTGACCAGGCAGAGTGGAGAAGCCCTCTCCAGTGAGACTCAGACTGCGGAGAGGAGGGAAGAGGGCTGCGTGGGCCCGAGCAGCTGGCAGTGGGCCGGGTAGGACACAGCAGGAAAGATGGCCACTTCCGGACCCCTGGTGGAGAGCCAAGCTCTCATTTCCCTAGAGCACCCCCTAGGTACTTGGTTCTATTTTCTCCTCTTTGCAGCTGAATAGAACAGGCTCAAAGGCTGGAAAACCCGCCCAGGCCCCACGGCTGCGAGGGGGACGCTGGTCCAGCTGACCCCATACCTCTGGACCGGCGCCTCAGACTCCTCCAAGGCCAGCAGACTCAGAGCCAGTGTGCGAGTCCCTCATTCAGTCCCTCCCCAGACACACTGCAGCAGGGAGGCAGCCAGAGCCCGCTGGCTTGGGTTCGGGGTCTGATTCACCGGGTTTCCACTTTACATCACCCATCCATCCTGCTGCCCAAGCTGGAGGTGCGGAGCCTGTGCTCATGTATGTGTCATGTGTTTGACTGGGGGTGTTACTTAAGCAAATTACCAAGTTACTCCAACTTTACAGTTCCATTTATTTCTGCAGCTCCCGACTACTGGGGATTGGGTGGGGCGCAGAAGCTGTCAGCACTCCCCTCTTCTTGTCATCTTGGGAGGGGGGTGACTGAGGCTTCTTCCCTTTCAGGAAAATGTGAATGGGCACAAGGCCCAGCTCCTGTACATAAGCCAGGCAGCAGGGCAGGAGCCACCACCTGCTGGGGTGACAGCCTCAAATACTGTCTGCTCCATGGCTTGGAAGCAGGGGATGTCCACTTATGAACACTGAGACTGTCCCATCACCACATCCTTGAGTCCAAAGTCACAAATATGCCTATGGGTGTCCACCTGGACTTGGCAACTCACCAGCTGTGCATAACCTTCACAGACACTTAGGTATTACTATCCCCAGGGTCTGAAAAATCGAGGCCCAGAAAGAGGTGGCCTAAGATCACACACATCAGCAGCAAAATGACTGAGGACAGTGGACACTTTGGTAGACCCTACGGCAGTATCCTGAGGTGCATTCTGCACCATCATGCTACCCTGCCTCTCGATGGATGGATGGATAGATGCATGGACATTGAACTCAAGTTCCAGCACAGCCTGACCATCACAGAGTAGGGATGGGACGTCTCCTCCCCTGCTCTAGGGCTGCTACCTCTGTTAGAGCCTAAGGCTGCATTAGTTTTCCAGTGTCCACACCCCTTACCAGCCCGAACATGGTTGAAATGTCTAGTGACCAATCACTAGGGCTTCCTTACTTAGCTTCATCACAACCCTCTCTCTAAACAGTGAATAAGGGGAGTGTTTTGGGGACCTCAAGTAATTGATGTGCAGGGGCTTTATGGGGGAAAAATGAGATGCATACAGACTTACGTCTAATGCCTGCACTGCACACAGAGGAAATGGATGTCGTTCTCTTTGCCCTTTCCTGCTGCTCTTCCTCCCTGCAGCAGACAAGATGGCTGACACACAGGGGAGCTTCCCCACTGCCCTGACAGGAGCTGCCTGAAAAGGCACCAAAAACACCTGAGCCCCAGGAGGGCAGCTGTTCTCCAAGCAGGTGTGAAAAGAGACCAGGCAGCACCCACCTTGGAGACCAGAACATACCCTGACCCTGTGGACCAGAGATGGGCACAACATGGAAAAGCCGAAACAAAAAGCCTCTCTGAAGAGCACCCCCGGGCTGGGCATGGTGGACAAGCAGTGCAGGTGCTGGGGGCTGTGCTTGCCTTGGTAAGGCTCAGCATGGGCACAGATGGCTCCAAACGTCTTTTCTCATCCACCTCCCCATATCAACCCAATGGAAGCTAAGAATCCACTGAGCCTATCCTGATTGCCCCTTAGGCTGAATGCTCGCTTTCTTCCCTAAAGCTGGACCCACTGCAAAGCCGCCAGCCCTGGTCAGCTCTCCATGAGCCCTGATTGAACATGTGACCAATGTTCCCATGTTCCAGACCCCGGGGAGACTCTGCTGGGGACACAATCATGAACACGATACCAGCAAGAGGTATGCAGAGCTTCCAATCCACACCGCTCATTGGAGGGGAAGAAACGAGCTCAGAAAGGGGGAG